GATCTTATGGGATGATAAAACTGTCTGTTGTTATTCTCAAGGGATTGCTAACTATAAAAACATGCTCTATTACTTTCCTACAACTTTTTAATTCCGACTGCTACAAACAATAGTGTCTATACGAATGACTATTCGCTTAGACTACTTTAACTGAGCTATTTAACTTCGCAACATTTTTCTTTGACTGCGAGAACCAACTATTTACTGTCCCTGCAATAACTGTTCTGAATCTTGGAGGATCTCCGGTACCCTCCAGATCCTTTGTTTTCTTACGTTTAGTTTCGGTTGAAGTCACGGCATTCCCTGTCGTTCCTGGCATCAGCCTAATTCTCTCCTCAGTACAAGTTTTACGAACACACCCCTCCTCTCAACACTTTCAACGGCAAAGTTTGGTTTCTTTTATGTTTTTTTTGCACGCATATTAGATACATGAAATGCAGTAGGTGCCACAGTTCGACCAAGCAAACAAATTTGATACGATCTTAATAAATTAATGCTTTCTTCTGTGAACAATCGCCCCCGATTTCAACTCGAACGCCAATCCATTTTATATTTATCAGTGAGCCTCCGAATGTCTTCATTGTAATTATCCTCTTGTTGTTTTTGTCCTCCTGGGTAAGTGGGAGACCCTTTTCCTGGGTAACTAATTCATTTCAAGCATCTAACAATTCCATTCACATTCTATTTCAGTCCCGACATACTGTCCATTAGGGGTCAATTTAAGCCAGAAGATCGCCTCCGAGGAGCCCAGTAAAAATCTCTTTTCTAGTCATACTTTTTAGGAGACTTCCTTCCTCTACCGCGCCCCTCTTTTGACTGCCAATTTCCTCTGCGACTTTTGTCTTTAGCCTTGTTGATTTTCTATTAGTAGCTCTGCTATCGTAGCTCAGCTCAACTCAATGATTGCCAAGTCCACTTCTTTTCAATCGACCACTTATCTCAAACTGTTGAGGCTGGGAAGCTGGCCACAGTCCGGTGTAAACCCCGATGTTTTCTATGCAAGTTTGGTCTTAAACGTCCAAAGGAAAATTTTGAGGCCACTCCTGATCAATATTCCGTATATAAGTTTAGAATTCCATAGGGTCCTATCTACCAAGCTTCCCTTATAACCGTCACCGCTTCTTAAATTATCAATCGTGTAGTTTTCGTTATCATTTTTACTGGAAAAGGCTATATTTACAACGAAAATAGTCACAGGAGGGGGTCGTGGTCACAGGGGATTTTTTTTGAAGATGGTGTCTAGTGTCTATTGCTGCCGTGAAATCAGTTGCGTCCCGCTCCAAGGTGATTATCAAACTTTGGTTTCATTCCGACCGCTCGTTACCGAGTTCTATTATGACTGTTTGCGCTTCCGGTAACCGTTATCAGTTAGGCCGGGGAGTCCGAGAGGTCCGGTTTTTTGTATTGCTGGATTTTGTATTCACATCATCTCTGTTTTCCGTACATTGAGTTTCATAAAAATAGCCCTATTTGTAGGGTTGGTTTGCTGACTTTGCATCAATAGGGTTTTCAGCAAAAGGAGAGACTATTTCTTAAGCAAATCGAACTTTTGTTGGTCTCAACCGATTGTGTACTTTTCTAATTGTCGTTTTTCTTACCAACACTCATTAGCTTTCTCAGTACTGCATACATTTCTCATAGTACAACTTTCAATCGGCTGCTGAGTTTGGCGAAAAAAGTGTTAGAATCACAGGTCCAAAAAAAATAACAGTATCGTTTTAAAGTATCATTCAGAATCACTCCAGTGAATGTTATTTGAGATTAGTTTGAAAACTACGCAGATTTTGAATTTTTAAAAACAAGCTGTTTTATTCAACGCAAACATAATAAATGGAGACTGGTCTTATGATACTATTGCCATTAAAAAGATTTTCTTAGCTACTTTTTTCTACGATCAATTCAGGCAAACTAATCGTTTTAAATTATCATTCAGAATCACTCAAGTGAATTTTATTTGAGATTAGTTTGAAAACTACGGAGTTTTTGAATTTTTATAAACAAGCTGTTTTATTCAACGCAAACATATTAAATGGAGACTGGTCTTTTGATACTATTGCCATTAAAAAGATTTTCTTAGCTAGTTTTTTTCTACGATCAATTCAGGCAAACTAATCGTTTTAAAGTATCATTCAGAATCACTCAAGTGAATTTTATTTGAGATTAGTTTGAAAACTACGGAGTTTTTGATTTTTTATAAACAAGCTGATTTATTCAACGCAAACATATTAAATGGAGACTGATCTTATGATACTATTGCCATTAAAAAGATTTTCTTAGCTAGTTTTTTTCTACGATCAATTCAGGCAAACTAATCGTTTTAAAGTATCATTCAGAATCACTCAAGTGAAAGTTATTTGAGATTACTTTGAAAACTACGCAGTTTTTGATTTTTTATAAACAAGCTGTTTTATTCAACGCAAACATATTAAATGGAAAATTGTCTTATGATACTATTGCCATTAAAAAAATTTTCTTAGCTAGTTCTTTTCTACGATCAATTCAGGCAAACTAATCGTTTTAAAGTATCATTCAGAATCACTCAAATGAATGTTAATTGAGATTACTTTGAAAACTACAAAGTTTTTGATTTTTTATAAACAAGCTGGTTTATTCAACGCAAACATATTAAATGCAGACTGGTCTTATGATACTATTGCCATTAAAAAGATTTTCTTAGCTAGTTTTTTTCTACGATCAATTCAGGCAAACTAATCGTTTTAAAGTATCATTCAGAATCACTCAAGTGAATTTTATTTGAGATTAGTTTGAAAACTACGGAGTTTTTGATTTTTTATAAACAAGCTGATTTATTCAACGCAAACATATTAAATGGAGACTGATCTTATGATACTATTGCCATTAAAAAGATTTTCTTAGCTAGTTCTTTTCTACGATCAATTCAGGCAAACTAATCGTTTTAAAGTATCATTCAGAATCACTCAAATGAATGTTAATTGAGATTACTTTGAAAACTACAAAGTTTTTGATTTTTTATAAACAAGCTGTTTTATTCAACGCAAACATATTAAATGGAAACTTGTCTTATGATACTATTGCCATTAAAAAAATTTTCTTAGCTAGTTCTTTTCTACGATCAATTCAGGCAAACTAATCGTTTTAAAGAATCATTCAGAGTCACTCAAGTGAATGTTATTTGAGATTACTTTGAAAACTACGCAGTTTTTGATTTTTTATAAACAAGCTGTTTTATTCAACGCAAACATATTAAATGGAGACTGGTCTTATGATACTATTGCCATTAAAAAGATTTTCTTAGCTAGTTTTTTTCTACGATCAATTCAGGCAAACTAATCGTTCTAAAGTATCATTCAGAATCTTTCAAGTGAATGTTATTTGAGATTACTTTGAAAACTACGCAGTTTTTGATTTTTATAAACAAGCTGTTTTATTCAACGCAAACATATTAAATGGAGACTGGTCTTATGATACTATTGCCATTAAAAAGATTTTCTTAGCTAGTTCTTTTCTACGATCAATTCAGGCAAACTAATCGTTTTAAAGTATCATTCAGAATCATTCAAGTGAATGTTATTTGAGATTATTTTGAAAACTACGCAGTTTTTGATTTTTTATAAACAAGCTGTTTTATTCAACTCAAACATTTTAAATGGAGACTGGTCTTATGATACTATTGCCATTAAAAAGATTTTCTTAGCTAGTTCTTTTCTACGATCAATTCAGGCAAATTAATTGTTTTAAAGTATCATTCAGAATCACTCAAGTGAATGCTATTTGAGATTACTTTGAAAACCACGCAGTTTTTGATTTTTTATAAACAAGCTGTTTTATTCAACGCAAACATTTTAATGGAGACTGATCTTATGATACTGTTGCCATTAAAAAGATTTTCTTAGCTAGTTTTTTTCTACGATCAATTCAGGCAAACTAATCGTTTTAAAGTATCATTCGGAATCACTCAAGTGAATGTTATTTGAGATTACTTTGAAAACTACGCAGTTTTTGATTTTTTAGAAACAAGCTGTTTTATTCAACGCAAACATATTAAATGGAGACTGGTCTTATGATACTATTGCCATTAAAAAGATTTTCTTAGCTAGTTCTTTTCTACGATCAATTCAGGCAAACTAATCGTTCTAAAGTATCATTCAGAATCTTTCAAGTGAATGTTATTTGAGATTACTTTGAAAACTACGCAGTTTTTGATTTTTATAAACAAGCTGTTTTATTCAACGCAAACATATTAAATGGAGACTGGTCTTATGATACTATTGCCATTAAAAAGATTTTCTTAGCTAGTTCTTTTCTACGATCAATTCAGGCAAACTAATCGTTTTAAAGTATCATTCAGAATCATTCAAGTGAATGTTATTTGAGATTATTTTGAAAACTACGCAGTTTTTGATTTTTTATAAACAAGCTGTTTTATTCAACTCAAACATTTTAAATGGAGACTGGTCTTATGATACTATTGCCATTAAAAAGATTTTCTTAGCTAGTTCTTTTCTACGATCAATTCAGGCAAATTAATTGTTTTAAAGTATCATTCAGAATCACTCAAGTGAATGCTATTTGAGATTACTTTGAAAACCACGCAGTTTTTGATTTTTTATAAACAAGCTGTTTTATTCAACGCAAACATTTTAATGGAGACTGATCTTATGATACTGTTGCCATTAAAAAGATTTTCTTAGCTAGTTTTTTTCTACGATCAATTCAGGCAAACTAATCGTTTTAAAGTATCATTCGGAATCACTCAAGTGAATGTTATTTGAGATTACTTTGAAAACTACGCAGTTTTTGATTTTTTAGAAACAAGCTGTTTTATTCAACGCAAACATATTAAATGGAGACTGGTCTTATGATACTATTGCCATTAAAAAGATTTTCTTAGCTAGTTCTTTTCTACGATCAATTCAGGCAAACTAATCGTTTTAAAGTATCATTCAGAATCACTCAAGTGAATGTTATTTGAGATTACTTTGAAAACTACGCAGTTTTTGATTTTTTATAAACAAGCTGTTTTATTCAACGCAAACGTATTAAATGGAGACTGGTCTTATGATACTATTGTCATTAAAAAGATTTTCTTAGCTAGTTTTTTCTATTATCAATTCAAGCAAACTAAGATCAACACATTTTAAAGCAAAAATACACTTATAGCCGGTGGCCAATCATAACAAACATAATTTAAAAAATCAGCAGTTGGCCATATATACGCAAAACTGATCAAAGTTTTTTGAAAAATGTTGCTGAACAAAACTCTGTTGGGGGGCGTTGGACTGGCGCTTCTAGTGTGCAGCTTCTTCTTCTCCTGTTTCGCTCACTCCAACTACGGATTCACCTACGATTATCTCGGAGAAACAATTCATGGTGGTATCTGGACAATTTGTTACGAAGGAAACTGCGACACTCATGAAGAACTCGGAGGTAGGCAACAAGTTTTTCTGGGAAATGTTACCCTATCCTCCCTCATAATCTCCTCACCCTCCCGATGCGTCAAATAAATGATAGAAAGCTCATTTGAAGGCTCTATGTGGTTTTTATTATTTATTTATAATTAAGAAGCCTTAAATACTCTTCAGTTGCCAAGCGTGCTAAAAAGTACATTGAAAATTTGTATTTTTAAAAATATCTACGGCCGGCTCGAGTTTCTTGAGACATTTTTTGGCTGTACGAGCAGCCTTTTTCTGTTCTCTCTTCTTCCAAGTTTGGTCTTTTAGTTTCTAAAAAATCATGCCACACAGTAAACTGATGGAAAGGTAGTCCATTAACTACAGAGCTGATTTAAATCAATCGGACAAAACGAAACATTGGAAACGCGTTTTTCTCAATTAATGTTAAAATTGGACGAAAAGTAAGGAGAACAAAACTTGCTTGGATTTTCACCAGAATGATTACGATGAAATCTTTTAACAAAATTCGAAACCAAAAGTGTACCCCGAAAGTGGTTCATTCTAAATTAATCGAAAATTGTGCTAAAACTACCAAGTTGATGCTCGAATTTAATTGAAAGAAAAATTATACCAAAAGGAGCCTCATACTCAGCCCAACAACGTTCTGGAGAGGTAAAATCTCCCAGAAATGTGCAAAAACGTTTAAAATTTTCTTTGCAAAGATTTTAATTTTATGTGGTAAAAAAGATTGTTTGACTATCAGCTAAAAGTATATTCTCTGCTATAGACTTTTAGAGATTTCACACTTGTACAGTATTGTTGGGATGAGTAAGAGGCTCCTTTTGATAATATTTTTGTTAATTAACATTGTAGTCTTATCGTAATTTTGGACTAACGAAAAAAGCCAAAATTACCTAGTTTTGGGGTAAAATTTTGGTTCGAATTTTGCCAAACCAATTGCATCATAAAAAATCTGGTGAAATTCTATCCAATTTTTGTTTCTTTCTTTTTTTGTCTAATCTCAACCCAATGTGAGAAAAACGCGTTTGAATTTTCAAGTTCTGTTAATTTTTTCCGGATTATTTAAATCAGCGCACTAGCAAAAATGGATGTAAAGTTTTTCTTATGCTTCAACTAAAATAGAAGTTTTCTGTAATCACCGGGTAGTCTTTCTCGCAAGAACAAAGGATTCAACCCTGGTCTGGAGTTTCACAGACAATAATTGATTATAATGGATTTTTAGTGACAAAAAATTTTCGAAAAACCTAATAAAGAATGCAATCGAATATAGATGCCAATCTTAAAACTTAATTCCAATTTGAATGAATAAGAGTCAACTTTTTTTCACTAAAATTTAATCGATTAGAATTCATTTTTTTAATTATAATTGTTCTTTTTTCAACACAAAATCCATTATCTTGTCGTTTACATCCCCCCTGATCAACCATGATTGAACCCCAGTTCTTGCTTGAAAGTGAGCGAGGGGGAGAGATGGCGATTGAACGGTACACTCTCTCCGTACCCTTCAATCGCCAACTCTCGCCCTCGGTCACGTTCGAGCAAGAACTGGGGTTCAATCATGGTTGAGCGGGGGGTGTAAAAAATAATGGATATATGATGAAAAAAAAACTTTAAAAAAATGATATCTAATTGATTAAATTATTGTGAAAGAAATTGACTCTTATTCATTAAAATTGGAATTAAATTTAAAATTGGCATCTATATTCGATTGCAATCTTTATTACAATTTTCGGAACTTTTTGTCACTAAAAATCCATCAAAATCGCTTATTGTCTGTGAAACTCCAGAGCAATTTAGTCAAAGCATAAGGAAAACTTTACATCCATTTTTGCTAGTACACAGTGCGCTGATTTGAATCATCCGGAAAAAGTTTACAGAACTTGAAACTTCAAACGCGTTTTTCTCACATTGGGTTAAAATTGGACAAAAAGTGAAAGAAACAAAAATTGCGTAGAATTTCACCTGTGCACATTTTTTTTTGGGGGGGGGGGGGGGCTTTTGTTGTAAATGGTCAAACGCTAGAGGTAATAATGTTGAGTAATATGAAAAAGTAATAAAAATATTAATGTTAGGTAGAAAAAAATTCAATTAAACAACAAGTAACCAACGTAACAAACTACAATATAAAACGTTGAAAAGACTTTATGTGCGTTGAAATTCGCATCTCAGTAAAATGCAAAAAAAAGCGATTGTAATTTAATTTCATTGTCAGTGTCCACAAAAATGAAAAAAAAAATCGATTATAATGGATGAAAAAAGGATTTTGTTGCCTCGAAAAATAGTAATACTATAATCCATTTTTAATTGATTATAATCGATTTGTTTGTTTTCATGGAACTACAATGCGGGGTGATTGTAAAAGTGGGCGAATGGCGATTATTTTTTGTCACGGCGATGGTACAAACAATTAAATAAATAATTAGCGGCCGAGTTAAAAAAGTCAACAAATTTTAAAATATAATTTCTTATAAAAAAACTAAAAATGAAAATTCAATATAATATTAACTTCATAGAAACTTTTAGAAGGCAAACGTTTTAAGAACCATTTTTTAGACAAACGTCAAGACGCTTGAAAACAGATTGAAATGTCTAACGTCCCGAATTGACCTCCATAGACCAAAAATGCTAATCAAACAATTCCATAAACTAAGTCTATGAAAAAATACTAGTCATACAAACTTCATACATTTTGCTAAAATGGTGCGGTCAAACTTTCGAAAAACTTTTCTCTTGTTTTGGCATAAAATTCGGTGTATCGTACTGAATAAAAAAAAATTTGTCAAAAAAAATGCTAATCATACAGTTTCCATATATGGAAATCGTATGACTAGCATTTTTTTGATGGCGACGACAAACATTTTTCAAAGTATTTTTGAAATCGCCCCAAAACTTTTTTGTTTTTTTTTTTCAACCGCAAATTGATTTTCGTAAAAAAATATTTTTTGAAAAACAAAATTTTGCATGCAAAGTTTAATTTTTTGTATGTATAACGTAGTCCTGGATATACTACTATTGGATTTTTTTTCCTTTTGTCTTTATAACTTTTTTCAAAAACGCTTAAAATTTCTCTTTCTTTTTCATGACATGTTTTTGTATGCCTTGGTCAATGTCTTGCAAAAATCTAAAAGTTCGTTACTTTCGTTATAATATTTGTGTGAGACAGAATTTAATCATTTCAGGATGTTTCAAATGCACTTTTAATGCGAGACGGCCACACCTTTGGTTACTACGTTTGAGTAACCAAGGTTTATGTCATTTGAATACTAATCATAGACCTTTCATGCAATTTTCTGTACTTGTGTAGTGTATGATTAGCATTTTTCCATATATGAAAGTTGTACGACTAGCATTTTTGGTCAACCCGGGTTTGATTTACCAATTTTTTTTGAAAAGTTATCAAAATTGTCGATCTAATAGCTTGGAAACAATTATAATGATTATTATTTCTTTTAAACATCCAAGCTGCCTATTTCAAGGGACAACTGGCAAACTCCTAGGCGCGAGAACGTTTATCGTCACGGACCATCTTCTCTGTTTCCCCTTCGGAATACTGCTGATTCTGGTGCTTGTATTAACGGAAAAAACAGGACTGAATCTTGGAGCTGCTTTATGCTCACTTGTCCACTGTGAGTAAACATTGATAACTTTAATACTTTTAATATTTCAAACTTAAATTAACAAAATTTAATTGTTTCTCAAGGATAAACAAGGGGAGTTTATGGGTACTCGTTTATTTGTTAAGCTAATTTACATGATCCTGCTTATTTTCTAAATAGAACAGCCATCACAGGATTTGAATCTACGCCTTGGCCGGGGTTGGTAACCGGATTCGTAAACGCTACATTAACTAGGAGCAGTATACAGAGACAAACAAGCTTACTGTTAGAATTAGCCACATACTGTACGTCGGTTTTTATTAGGGACCACGGCGTTTTTGAGAAACCAAACAAGTAAGCTAGTACCAGTTTATGATGCTCGGCTCAACCGCCACAGATCAAAATACTTGGCCTATTTTCTTTTTTTTGGAAATGTGCATCATATGATTTAGTTTTTGATCTGCGTTTTTCAGCAGATTTGGGGAAATTCAACCATCTGACCATTCAAAGGTCCCTGGTTGACCTCCCTAACGAAATTTTTTATCATTTAAACCAAAGAAGAAAAATGCTTATCATACAATGTCATGCACAGAATCGATAGAAAAAGGCTTATCCTACAGTTTTTTTTTAAAAAATTGTGTGATAAACAATTTTTACATTGCTGCATAAAAAATATTAACTGGGAATTTTTTTTATGCAGCAATTTTTTTCAGTAAAAAAATACTTTCAGGGCATCTTTTTTTTGAACTTTCAGTAGCAACAAGATTTTCATGCTAAGAAAACGTTTTCATTCAAAATTTGTTAGTTTTGTCTTTAACATAGTCCAGGCTGAATTTTCCATACGAAAGAAAACATCGAGACATTTTTGTTCGAGTTCACTATAAACTTTTAATGCTTTATATTAAAATTTTTCCAAGGCACTCAGACCATGTTTTTTGTTTCATAAAATTATTGACTAAAAACGTTATGGTCATATACAAAAACTGAAGGTTTTTATTCATAGTTCTGAGTGAACTGTGAATTTTTATCTCATACACTTATTACCCAAAGGCGAGTAACTGTGAGACTTCTTCCCCTTAACCCACGAGGTTTCATATGTGAGCAAATCATTGGTTGTCGTGTTTTCGGCGGAAACATAAGAAATATTAGTTAAACTCAAAAACCATACTTTATGGAAAAATGCTTGTCATAAAATTTTCATTTTTGAAAAAATTTTTGTCGAAGAATTCTTTTTTAACAGTTTTTTGTTCACATCGAATTGTACGAAAATTTATGATCAGCATTTTTCTTCATCTTATAAATGTATGGCAAGCATTTTGGGCCATCTCGGGGCTTTTTCTGTTGTACTTTAGAGCATCAATTTCCAGCCTAATGAAAGTTTTAAAAAATGCTGTGAAGTTAATGATAAGCTGAAACGCACATAAATAATTATTGAATTAAAACTAAGAAACAGAATACCTACAATTAGTCAGTTTGAGAGAAAATGCAAGTCATACAATTCCACGCAATAAAAAACTGCTATTCACATTTCCAGCATATAAGAAAACGCTATTCACAAAGTTTTGAATATTTCTTCAAGTATGGGTCATACGGGAAAGCGGCTTACAACTATACGAAATGCATATCTCTCAATGTCGAGGAAAATTGGTCTTAATAGTTGCATTTTTCTTTTTTCTTCAGCCGGTAATTTTTTACCGCCATTGTACTAGCGAAAAAAACGTGTCATTACGAGGCCAAACTGTGCATTTTGGGAATTTTAAGCAGATTCTGCAAAAGGCAAAAAACAATTTTTTCCCGGAATCCGCAAAATTGCTATTTTTCTTAGATATTCTCTGCTGTTTTGAATTCCACGGACAAAAAGCTAAGTCACTGTTTTGCTCAAAATTGGTCCAAAAACAAGCAACTGCGGAATTCGCAACAAAATGTTTGGAATCGAGAACAAGTTTGTGTAATCCATGAACAAATAATAATATATAAGTTTAATAAATTTGGACTGTCGCGGAATCCGCAACTGTAAGTGGAATCCGGAAATTGTAAGCGGAACTCGCAAATTTTGAGCGGATTCCACAAATTGTAAGAGGAATCCGCAAATTGTAAGCGAAATCCGCATAAATTTGCCGAATCCACTTACATTTGCGAAATCCGGATTAACTACCTATATTTGCTCGTTGCAGAATCCGCAGCAAAATCAATATGCCGACAAAATTTACGTTACATGTATTTGTACGTGGAATCCACTGAAATTTTGTAAGTGGAATCCACTTACATTTTGGAACATGTCCTGAGAATCGTCTCTGGAATCCAGGAACATACATACACAAAACTTTGCGCCTATCCAGTGCACAGTTTGGCCTCGTATTGGTGGGCCTCAATTAAACAAAATTGTTAAGCTTAACCATCCACCAAGAAAACTGCTAACCAAAAAGTTTGATTCAACCGCTAGCTACATGATATTATTGTTTCAGTCTTTCTTCTGCTGCTGACCAGTTCATTGATGTCAAGTGAGTTTTCTGCCGATGGTCTCGTAGTGGGTTGGGGCACGGGGCTGACTTGGTTCTCCTGGATCATTTCCCTCTTTCTTCTCATCGATCTTGGCTTTCTGGTTTTTCTTTCGTATCGCAAGGACAACGAGACCCCACAACCACAAATGAGTTATAATCCACAAGGACAGGGGCAGGTGATGCAAAATCAGCAGATGAACTACGCCATTCCACAACAGGGAAAACCGCCTCAAAATGCGATGTACCCCAATTCACAATACCCCCCACAGAGAAACCAGCCTCAAAATGCGATGTACCCCCCTCAGAATTCGACAATGGACCCTCCAACCCAATATCCGACAAATCCCCCTCCCGCCGAAATGAAACAATGAACTCTACCCAAAAAAGACGGCAATTAGACCCCGCCGCCTTCTAACATAATCCAATGACTGTCTGACGAATTGAATACTCCTTCTTATTTTCTTATAAGCCCAAAACTAACTTCATGAAATTTGAGTATCACTCTGAAATATCTTGTTTATCTTGACTACTTACAACCTGAAAAATTATCTTGCACTTATTAACGCTTTGTACATTTGCTTATTTGTAAATAAATGATTGCCAAAATGAAACTTGAAATAATTTTTGCTTCAACTTTACTCCCCCGTAGACGAAGTCATGCTCCGGTAAGATTTTGTCTTGCCACATATCACCGTCTGCTTGTCACGCGGTTGAGTTTAAAGCCAGATATATCAATGTGGTCGCTTATTTATCTGCACATCTCTTGGGCTCAACAGAGTTAAAAATATTGGATTGCAATCAGGGCCGGATATAGGGAGTCCACCGCCTCACTTTTTAAAGGTACGCCTTTGGTAACATCTTACGACATCAGTTTTTGGCCGACTGACTCTAAAACTGTTCTAATAGCGCCTTCAACGCCAATATGTACCAATTTCGAGGGTGAGTGCGCGCCAAAAAACCGCATTTTTTGGTCAAAATCTTCCAAACAACGCCCTACACCGTAATGTTTGACCGATTCTTTTAAAAATGTGCATCGACAGTCGTATGGCGGAAGGGCACGTACAAAATTTATATAGATAATTGTTAACGCTGCCCGGGTCGAGGTTTTGACTTTTTGTTTTGACCGTCTCGACCAAAACAAATGTGCTCGACCGTGCTCGACCCAAGCAAGATGTCAATCGACCGTGCTCGACAGAAAGCATTGTGGTCGTGCATGTCCGACTCAAGCAAAAAGCAAGATGTATTTCAACCGTGCTCAACCGTTCTCGACCAAAGCAAGATATGTTTCGACCGCGCTCGACCAAACAAAAGTGTGCTCGACCCAAGCAAAAAAGTTTTCAACCGTGCTTGACCAAAACAATGTGCTCGACCATGCTCGACCCAAGCAAAAATTGATGATCATCTTGCAAAGCGGTTTTCAGTTTAGTGGCTGCTATACCGTTCTTTATAATTCTTAAATATCCTTGTTTTTGTATATAATTTTTGTTTAAGCTAGCAGCAGAGTGAACATTTTTCCAAAAGTGAGGTTTTTGCAATAGAGAACTAGGTTTAACCAGTCACTAAGTTTTAACGGTCTTGCATGTATATTGCAGTGCACGCGACCTAAAATATTATCTATGATATAAACAAAATTAAGATAGACGCAAAAAACTAAGTTTGGCAGAATTTTTCAAAGACTCTTTTTCGAACTTAACATCCTAATTAATCATGCAGTGCCCAAGGCATGCAAAAAATTATAGTGCAAAAGAAATAGGCTTTCTGACCTTTTTGGAAAATTTAATTTCAGACCCAGAAAAATATTTCAATTTTTGTGTTTCTAGGACTATGTTATCCACAAAAAACCTAAATTTTGCAAGCAAAAATTTTTTATAGAAAACAAAGTTTGAGTATAGAAACATTTATGAGCTTGAAAAATTTAAGAAAATAACTTTGGGAAACAATTTGAAACTACTTAGTGACGCCAAAACCTTTTATTATTGCAATAAAAACGCTAATCACACAATTTCCGTTTATATGACTCAAATTTGTTTGATTGGCAATTTTTTTGCCACAACGTGTTCCTTCTTTTTAAATGACGATACATCTACTCTTTCGTAAAAACAAAAAGTTTTAAACATTTGATTACCATGTTCAAACTTTTGGAACCCTGTTGGTTCAATCCGAGAAGAACTGCATGTTTTTTTTTAGTTTTGTGAATTTTTCTCATTACGAGGCCAATCTGTGAATTCTGCGCATTGTAAACGGATACCGGAACGGACCGACCAAAACTTGATTTGTCGCGGAATCCGCAACATTTCTACCTTTCTTTGATCTTATATGCTGTTTTGGATTCCACAAACAGATACTTGAAACATTGTCCCTCTCAAAATCGCTCCAAAAATAGGCAAATTTGCGGAATCCGCAACTGATTTGCGGAATTCAGAGCAGTTTGTGGAATGCACAAACAATCAATAAGACATGTGTATAGTTACATCGAGCTGTTGTGAAATCCGCAACTGTAAGCGGAATCCGCAAATTTTAAGTGAAATCCGCAAATTGTAAGTGGAATCCGCATTTCGTTTGCGGATTCCACTTAAATTTGCGGATTCCACTTACATTTTGCGGATTCCACTTACATACTGCGGAATAAATTTACGGCTGCCGAATCCAAAACAACTAGCTATATTTGCTTGTTGCGGAATCCGCAACAAAACAAACGTGCCGACAAATATTACGTTACAGATATTTGTGTGCGGAATCCACGAAAATTTGTGAGTGGATTCCACTTACATTTTGGAATATGTTTAAAGATTTGTCTATGGAATCCAGAACAAATAGACACAAAAATTGTGTCCCTATCCAGTGCACAGTTTGGCCTCGTAATGCTGATTCACAAGCTGTCTAGCCAATTCATTTCGTAGAAAAGCATGAAAAATTATCATATACTTATGAAATGTGTAACAGCTTGTAAAGTCTGATGAAGTTGTGCCTGTTTTCTTTCAGATTTTCTAAGAAAAGGTTAAAACTTGTTCTTGACTTCATGTTTGTTCTTCACACTGTTTGTAAATTATTTACGAGCAAATTGTGAAAAAACTTAATTATCAGATGTAGGAATCCGTCACAACCACTGCTTGCAAAATTGGGACAAACTTCAGGGACACCGAAGAAAACAATTTCCAAAACCAGAGAATTTAAAAAATGTTTTCCATCAATCAAAGTTTGCTTTTTACAAGAAGTGAGATCCAGTGTGGTGTAGAGGGTAACCTGTAGTGGTTGTAGATTTGAAAGTTTTTGAGATTTAAGAAGGAAAAAATCTTGGAACGAAAAATTTTTATGCAAAAAGAAGTAAGTCCATCCCTCTGTAAGAACAGTTGTATGGTTCTGGTTTTGTCCTACGGTTGATTCCCATTTCCAGTCTTGTATTTTTCTAGTGATAAGATGTTGAACTGTTCAGCCAACGACGGTCGAGTTACATTCACAACATCAAACTTGCAAGCCGCTTTTGATTATAGTTTACGCAAAAAGAAGGGCTTAAGGTTAATGGGCAGAATTTCAGAGTCTGGCTTTCGATAAAGAAAGTCAGAGTCTGGCCTTCAATAATGTTCAGAGTCTGGCCTTCAATAGAGTCTGGCCTTCAATAAAGTGGGATTTGATCAGTTTCCGCTCCTCACCTGTGAACATCTGAGCTGATTTGTCTCGGTACTGCACCACCAACATGGTTTTCTGTCTGTTTAATAATCATTCCTTGAAATTGACCCTAGGCTTGGATGTTGTTGAGCTTTTATGCAGTGATTATATCACGGGTACTTGATTTGAACTTATAATTTTATGATTTTGAGTATTTGTTTGTCAATTCATTGTTTTATTTTCGTTCTAATTGCCTGTAAAGATGTATGTAAACCAAATTGAGCTGCTTCAAAAATTTCGTTATACTGCGCCATCATTAATATTCGCAATACCATAATCGAGTGAAGCGCATCTTCCTAAAATACGAATCTTCTCTGCGTCAATTAGTTTCTGGTATCAGCCACAAAGCACGTTTAACCATGACTCAAGTAACATTAGAGTCCAGAAGGAGCCTGTTACCTTTTCGTTAAACTACTGTCGAAGTTTATTTAGGTTTGAAAGGTTTTTTGAGGGTAGTAACGTCTCTCCCATGTACCTTTTCACAGTTCCTACAATCTTATCCACATACTGCTGGAAAAATTTCATCTCTTTTTTAAGTTTTTCTTTTTTTGTTAACTCGCAACAAAACTGAACTGTATTGATTATTTATTTATATTCATTTTTTGAAGATTTAGTACAATTTGGTGGAACCACTTTTGAACAATTACAAATGATTTCTGTCGGTATATTATTTTTTCTTTAATTCTGATTAGATGTTTTCTAGATTTTCCATGGGCTTGTATATTTTGCGAATCTCTTTTATCAAGGCAATTTTAATCTTTTCCAACCACAAACTTTAAGTGTAGCTGAAAATTTAGGACCAAAAGCCAATCCATCCCTCTGTAAATACTTATATCATTGTTTGTATTACTTCACGGTTTTGCGTGCAATGCCTTGGGTTTTCATTGCTTAGTAAAACTTTTTGAGTGCTAAGTCGATAGCCTATTTGACAGAAAAAATAGCGGAACTTTTTTTTCAAAGAGTTTCTTTTCTCAAAAAGTTCAATTCCACAATTTCAAAAACGTTTTGTACTTCCTCTATGACTGTTTCTTGTTCTTCTACTCAACGCACTCTCAAAAATTGGGCAATTGTTTGAACTTCCCAACACTAATTTCGCTGGGCAGTTCTTTGAACGTCCCAAGACTCAAGACATTGTACCTCGGGGCAATTGTTTAAATTTCCCAAGTTTCGGGACCAGAAGCGTTGTTTGAACTTCCCAATTCTTTTGTAAAAGTTCTTTTGTTCTGTTGTTGCAGCCCCCAAAACTCAATTTTAAATCAAAAAAAATTATATATCATGTTTTTAAATTTTTTGCTTTCATAATTTTCTGTCGGTTTGATAAATTCAGGATATAAATAAAAAAGAAGTATGCTTATCTAGCAACAGATCGGGTGCAACATTTGCTAGTTTAAAAACACCTCAGGTCCAATTTTAACCCGTCATATTGGAGAAATTGTCTCATAACTAATTGCAACGGGAAGGTTGATCAGATGTTTTTGTATGAGAAACTGATATCGTTAAAAAACTACGGAAAAAAATTAATTTTTGTAAGCTCTAGAACCCATCCAAAACACCATTTCACTGTCGCTCAAGCTATCCTATTTCGATCTCCAGCAAATTTTTAGCGTTCTCACTGTTGTTTTGGTGTTAAAACCGGTAGATAGGATATACTTAAAAAGACGATTTCGGTTGTTAAGTTTTAATGAAAAAGAATCCACTTTTGGCAATTTGCAGCCACCCTATTTTTTTAACCACCCTGTTATTTCAGCCAGCCGCTTTTTCTAACCACCCCGCTTAAGTAAAAATCTCCTAAACAAGACTGGTGAAAGTAAACTCAATAGAAACAAAATAGAATCTGACTCCAAGCTCTGCTCTAGTAAGAGCCTTTACTCAAGTCAAAAAATGTGCTCAAATTTATTACTAAATACTTTTATACTTATCGCCGTATAATTAAAGTGTGGTGTTAACAATATTCTATGATAAACTTC